CGGCGAGGGCGGCGTCGGACGGGGTTCGGGCGGCGAGGGCAGCGTCAGACGTCGGGCCCTTCACGTCCGCGTCGTCGGGCGAAGTTGGGACGGGCGACGTTGGGACGGTGAGATGCGGCGACGGGTGAAGTTGGGACGGTGAGATGCGGCGACGGGGGCGGCGGCGGGCGACGTCCAGACGCCGAGGGCGGCGACGGGCGACGTTGGGACGGCGAGGGTGGCCTCGCACGGGGTTCGGACGGCGGCGATCCGCTGCGGCGGCGATCGCCAACTCTGGAAATACCTTGATTAGCGGGCGGGCGACTAGATGGGCGGGCGAGAAGATGGGGGCGGGCCCAGATCATGGGTACTTTTTTTTTTCATGCGCGCGGTATACGTATGCCCGGCAGAGCTGTACAATACGAGGTGGGCATACGTTTCTTTCGTATGCCAATTCTGCCCTTCTACGTTTTGTTGGGGGGGGGGGTCTACCGAAGCAAGGCCCGTTCAAATATTGTCTTATGGAAAATTCATACTTCTTTATTTTCATCAGAGCCAGTTTGAGAGACTTCCCTTGATACCTCCCAAAGTTGGTTATTATTTCGTTGCCTAAATATATGTTTCTTGTATTCATTGTTGGCACTATTGGACTTTTGACATGGTAGTTTCTTCCCTTGTTATCTTATGTTCAAGGACAAGGTTTATGCGAAGGTTCTGTAGCTATTGACAATATTATTGTTGCATGTTTTTCTTGCTTTTATATCTGTATAAAAAGTTAAAAACAAGCTTGTTAGTTCTAACGTTTATGCAGTTTTAAGTACCAAATTTGTTTTAGATTTGTTCCAAATTGATTAATATAGTTGTAAATATTTTCTTGTAGTTCACCAAAATATGTAAATTCAAAATAAACCCTTCTATGCAAAAAAAAAAAAATACAAATAAGTTTGTGCAAGTTTTAACATATATGTTTCATGCCTCCGACTGTCAATTATCAAATAAACGGGTACAACAACGCGCGCCGTCAATCTCTAGTGAGCTATTTGTTAAAATAAGGCGGCCAGCCAGCCACGTTGACAAATATAGGTCGGCGCGTTGGACGCACTACCGATCCAAATCTAAAGCAGGACAGACGCCGGACGGGCGACCGACCCAAACAGACGGTCCGATGGAGTTGCTCTAAGCTTTGAACATCCAACACGCACGGCTGTCAATCAAGCAGTTTGCAGATTGTGCCAACACGACGACAAAAGTCACACGTACGCACGATGGCGATGGCGACCCCGCCACGACGCCTTCCCTTCCCTTCCCTTCCCTTCCCTTCCCCAAAAGCGCGCCTCCACGCCACGCGCACGAACCAATCGCAAAATCCCTTTCCTCTTCCTTTCTTCCTTCCTCCCGCACCTTTCCTTGCCTTCGCCCCGACTGCAAATCCTCCCTTCTTCCGGGCAGAGGAAAAAGGAAAGAATAAAAAAAAGAAGGGGAACCGCGCGCGCGCACGGGATCCGCGGCAGCCAGCATCCTCGCCGTACCCTCTTCCCGCCGATCCTCCCCGTCCTGCCCGATCGGCATGGCGGACGGGGACTCGGCGGCGGCCTACGCGTCGCCGCGGTCGCCGCTGCCCCCGGAGACGCCGTCCACGCAGAAGCGGCGGCACCGGGGCCTCGTCTCGCGGGTCTGGAAGGGCATCTTCGGCCGCCGCGAGGACGTCGAGAAGCTGCTGCAGGCGCTCTCCAAGGAGGAGGAGGCCCTCTGCTCCCGCGTCCACCGCCGCGCCCGCGCCTCCGCCCACAACGTCCTCGCCCTCGCCTCCGCCCTCGAGGTCTCCCCCTCCCCTCCACACCCCCCAATCCCCTCGCCTCCTACGATTCCCTTAGATTTTACCAAAACCTTATCTCTTGAGCTCGTGTTCTTCCCCCATTGTTGACCTTCTTCGAGCTTGCTAACTCTCAATTCCTCCAATGATTCTTGCTAGTTCTTGAGGGAAAAGAGAGAGGAGATTTAGATCCACATTTCCACCAATCACTTTCTCCTCTATGTGAGGGGAACCTCTTGGATCTAGATCTTGGAGTTCTTGGTGTTCTCCTTCTTGTTCTTCCTCTCATCTTCCTCCCTAGCATTAGTTGCTTTGGTGGGATTTGAGAGAGGAGGACTTGGGCACTCCGTGTGCCCTTGCCATTGCATTTGGTGCATCAATTTGAGTTCTCCACGTGATACGTGGAAGTTACAAGTTGAGAAGCTTATTACTCTTGGGTGCTTGGCACCCTTGAGCTTGTTACTTTTGTGTGTTTGGACACCCTAGAGCTTGTTTCTCTTGGGTGCCTTGGCACCCTAGACGATTGGTGTTGTTCGGAGCTCAATCATTGTGGTGTAAAGCTCCGGGCAAGCGTCGGGGTCTCCAATTAGGTTGTGAAGATCGCCCTGAGCAATTTGACGGGTACCGGTGACCGCCCCTAAGGGTTGCCAAAGTGTACGGGTTCGGTGACCGCCCCAAGGGTTGCCATTTGTACGGGTTCGGTGACCGCCCTCAAGGGTCCCTTAGTGGAATCATGACATCTTGCATTGTGCAAGGGTGTGAGGAGATTACGGTGGCCCTAGTGGCTTCTTGGGGAGCATTGTGCCTCCACACCGCTCCAAACAGAGATTAGCATCCGCGAGGATGTGAACTTCGGGATACATCGTCGTCTCCGCGTGCCTCGGTTATCTCTTATCCGAGCCCTTTACTTATGCACTTTACCTTGTGATAACAATATTGTTCTTTGTCATATATCTTGCTATCACATAGTTGCTTATCTTACTTAGCATAAGTTGTTGGTGCACATAGGTGAGCCTAATTATTGTAGGTTTTGTGCTTGACAAATTTACCGTTAGATTTATTCCGCATTTGTTCAAGCCTCTACTGTAATTATTTTAAAACCCATATTCACCTTCGTTCCCCTCTAGGCGACATCCACAATCTTTCAGCAGTGCAGCGCCCGGCTGTAAGGCGCTACACAAAACGGTATGTTATATGAATTTTTTTAGAGACCAAATTAGATCGTGATTTAATTTTGTCCTCAAATCAAATATGTGATTTCTGCCGTAACCATACACGTGAAAGGAGTTCACCCGCGGAACTCCCACGGCTATTGGGAGATCGTCTGAGGCCCAATTTGAGCACATTGCTACTCGAATAAAGTGTTAATCAAGCCAACATGTCAGGTCTACACTGCACATTGCGTCTAATTAAATTTGTCAATCAAGCAGTTTGCGCAAACCAACATGTGGTTACATGGTTAGAAGGATAGTGGTATCCCAACCCAGGGTTCGAGTCTTAGTGCTCACATCATTCCTGCATTTATTTCAAGATTTTCGGCGATGCTCTTTCGATGGGAGAAGACGTATCCGTTGACGACAAGGCGTCTACACTGACTTCGTAAATCTCAAAATGATATGCCGGCTCAGTCTCTCAAAAGTGCTTATCGGGATAGGTTGTGCATGTGTGCGTTCATAGGAACATATATATGAACGCTTAGAGCATCTCCAACAGGCGCGCCAAAAGACGCGCCCGCGTGGTAAAATAATGTTTATCCGCGTGCGGCCCAGTTTCGCGCGCTCCAGCGATGGCGGCAAACTACCGCGCGCGGGAAGCGTTTGCGCGAGCGGGAGAAAGCGGCAGCTAGCGCGGTAGATTTGGCGCGCCGCTTTGCGCGCGCTTATAAAATCCGGCGCTCGCCAGGGGCTCAACCACACTGCCACGCGCCCTTCTCCTCGCCACCTCATCGCTCTTTCTCGCTACTTTCCCCGCCACCACCGCGCCACCATGCCGCCGCGCTGCCGGGGTTCTTCGGGCTACCACGGCGTCCGCGAGCGCCCGAGCGGCTGGTACTCCGCCGAGATCCGGTCCGGCACGTCCGGCTCAGCCTCGACTCGTTCCGGACCGCGCACGAGGCGGCCCGCGTGTACGACGCGGTGGCGTGGCGCTTGGAGAGGCCCCCGTCGCAGATGAACTTCCGGGACGTCTTCACGCGCGAGCAGGCGCAGCGCCTCGCCCCTCTGCCTCGTCTCATCACCGACCAGAACCGCGCAGACCACGTTCGGCAGCAGCGCCGCCTCCTCATCGTCGACGAGGACGAGCAAGCCATGGCGGAGTGGCGCCGTCGCCACCCGGAGGACGTCGCCGCCAAGAACGCCTTTTGGGCAGAGAGGACGGCAAGGCGCCGCGCAGAGCGTGCCGACAGGCGTCGGCGCAAGGCACTGGCCATATCGCAGTGCGATATCGTCGAGTACGGCGGGTAGTCGGTCTTCTCCCCCCAACGATGTGCGTTGGGATGACATGTGGCTTGATACCTTGGACAACATCACCGAGGATGATGATGGTGATGATGATGATGACGACTGGCAATCACCGTAGTTTTTCTCGTTGCACCGTAGATTTATCTATCTAGTTGCACCGTAGTTCTATCTATCTATGCTTTGGAACTATGTAAACTATCTTTGCATCCTTTTTTATCTATGCTATGAACTATGTATCTTTTTTTATCTATGCAAAGTTTATTTAAAAAAAAAATATTGTGCGGGAGCGCGCGCTGCATTTTAGCGCGCCTGCTCGAGCTACGCGCGCGCTTCATCAGCCAGCCGCGCCAAACCTGACAAAGGACTCGTCGTAAACTGGAATTTAGCGCCCCCGCGCGTTTGACGCCTGTTGGAGATGCTCTTATGCATGTACTGTGTTAAAAAAAATCAGTTCTTAGGTTGCGTCAACACGAGGACAAAAGTCACACGTACACACCGTGGCGACGGCGACCCCGCCACGACGCCTTCCCTTCCCTTCCCTTCCCGAAAGCGCGCCTCCACGCGCACGAACCAATCGCAAATCCCTTTCCCTTTTCCTCTTCCTTCCTCCTTGCCTTCGTCCCGACTGCAATCTTCCCTTCTCCCGGGCAGAGAAAAGCAAAAGGAAAAAAGGCGAGGGGAACCGCGCGCACCGGATCCGCGGCAGCCAGCACCGGCATCCTCGCCGTCGCCTCTTCCCGCCGATCGGCATGGCTGACGGGGACTCGGCGGCGGCCTACGCGTCGCCGCGGTCGCCGCTGCCCCCGGAGACGCCGTCCACGCAGAAGCGGCGGCAGCGCGGCCTCGTCTCGCGGGTCTGGAAGGGCATCTTCGGCCGCCGCGAGGACGTCGAGAAGCTGCTGCAAGCGCTCTCCAAGGAGGAGGAGGCCCTCCGCTCCCGCGTCCACCGTCGCGCCCGCGCCTCCCGCGCCTCCGCCCACAACGTCCTCGCCCTCGCCTCCGCCCTCGAGGTCCCCCCTCCCCTCCCCTCCACACCCCCAATCCCCTCGCCTCCCACGATTCCCTTCGATTTTACCAAATCATCCTAGGCGGTCCGCACCCAGCGAATCGACCGCGTGCTCACTAGGCGAACGCGATCCCGTGCGTGCAGGGGAGGGATGATGCTCTGCAGGCCCGCAAGCCTTGTGCTCAAATTTCAACAGCGCTCACCGGGTGTTCGATTGTACATTAGGTCTGTGCCTGGGACGGATGAATGGGGAATTCTGTGGCTCGTGACGAATCATAGTATGTTTTTGACAGCGTGCAGGCCATCCAATTCAGTGATTTGGCGTTTCATCGGACGCGTAGAATGCTGTGGGACTGTGCTGAAATCTCCCCTTCTCGTTGATGCCGCCGCTGCAGCTATTGCATGATCCGGCTTCCAGGAGGAGCAATTAGCTTTATAATAATTCATTCATTGCTGCTGCTAATTAGACCCGATTGTGTCGACGACACAGCTGTATAATTGCCGCGATACTGGACAGGTGGGGAGGGATGGAATCTGCACGATACTGCGAGCCTTGTTTTCGAATTTCGTTTTAGTAATCGATTCGTTTTGTTAAGAGGTGCTAGCATGGTATGAAATCGTGCTATATTGCCGCGCAATCTAGCCTTACTGCGACTGATGCGTTGCTTCAGCTGCTAGGATAGGTTCATGAACAGTCTATTTTTATCGATGGCAGGGTTATATAATTTTTTTTCCTGGAACAGATCGCGGCTGTTGGATATGCGATTATGACTACCAGATCCCCAGACATCCCCTGGCAGATGAGGGCAGCCCGGGTGCTGCCCATGTTCTTGGTTCCTGCTTTAGCTGCTCTCATCTACTCAGCTATTACAAGCATTGCGAAATTCCGTAAGTACATTTGCCTCTGCATCGCTGTTTTTCCCGCAGTAGTTTTGTTGTTGCAGATGTTATTTTGGAAAGGTCTATGTGGGGCTTTAAGCCCGCTGTTGCAGATGTGAATGTAGCATTACGTATTATTGGTTATCCTTGTGATCGTTGGAATAAAAAGGAAACCCAGTTGTATAGTATTAGACTGATATGTTTCGCTTAGTTCTTCAAGTTGGCCATCCATTTAAGGGTCTAGTTGTATAGATGTAATTGACACTTAATTAATTGCTTTTGTTAACAGCTGAAGTAAGAAAAGGTGTATGATTACCATGATCCTAGTTGTTTTTTGCTAATATGGTTACCCTTTCATGTTTAAATTGTGATAGACATTACTCTGTCTTGCAGTTGATAATAGAGATCAACATACTCTTGAAAAGCTTCGTGCTGAAAGGCAGGCCAAGATTGATGAGTTGAAAGAAAGAACAAACTACTACACTACCCAGCAACTTATACAGGTGGGTTGTCACCGGCCAATTACGATCGTTCTATATGCAGAGTTGTATTGGTTAGTAGTACTAGTTTTTTCCTGTATTGGAAACCTGTATTATGTTCCTTGTTTTTTCCTCTCATGAGAACAGTGTATGTACTCCCTCCGTCTTGTCATCAAAATGGATAAAAAAGGATGTATCTAGACGTATTTTAGTTCTAGATACATCTCTTTTTACCCATTTTGATGACAAATATTTTCGGACGGAGGGAGTATGTATTACTGACTCTTTATTTTCTTGATACAGAGATATGATCTTGACCCTGCTGCAAAGGCAGCTGCAGCAAGTGTTTTGGCATCTAAGCTGGGTGCGGATTCTGGATTGAGAGTCTTTTTTGGAGATGAGTCGAACGTGGATGGAAGTAAAAGTAATGATCAGCACGGACAGACTTCTGGTCTGAGGCAAAGAAAACCGGCCCACTCAGGCCATGGCTCTGGACCGACCCATCCCTCTGAGCCATCAGACGGCTCGAGTATATATGACGGTAACGAAAGCCCCACTGCAAATCGGACTGTTGAGCACTTCAGAGGCCATGCTGGCAATGATGGCGGATGGCTCGCACGAGTGGCCGCTCTGCTTGTAGGGGAGGATCCAACACAATGCTTTGCGCTGATATGTGGCAACTGCCATATGCATAATGGTAGGGAGCTTATAAACTTTATTTCTGTCTGTAGATCGTTATGCCGGCCATGTTCTCTCTACTGAACCACATTTCAATCTTTCAGGTCTTGCAAGGAAAGAGGACTTTGCGTTCGTTACGTACTACTGTCCTCACTGCAATGCTCTCAACGGACCGCGGCAACACGAGGACGGTGAAAGCGTCCAAGCCGGCGCCAGCCTTGCGGACTCGGGCGTCAGCAGTCCTGTCGGGAGGAGCTTGCCGACCGTCGAAGAACAGCCTGCAGAAAGTCCTGCTGCGAGTAACTCAACGGTCGCTGAAAAACCTCAGGCGGAGAGTTCTGCTGCTACAAATAGCTCATCACCAACTGTGGAGAAGGCAGGCAGCGATCAGCCTGCCGGCTGAACTTTATCATTTCTTTTTGAAAGAAACAGCCTGCCGGATTCTTGTGCCTGCCACCACCTATGCATATAGATGCGGATTATTCGGTGTGTTGTGCTTGGAATGGATTGTTCCACTTGGTGCTTCTAGGGTGCTAGCGTGATGGATGCCCGTTTGACGGCATCTTGCCCAGCTGCTTGAGTGATGGGTCGCCGCTTTGCTTTTGCTCTTGAGTGTATAGTTTTCTTTCTCTTTTGAAAAGTTGAGTTCTACGCCTTTTTTGTAATATTACCAGTCATGTGTAGTATCGGTTTCTCTTTATGTAAATTCTGGTTTTGGAATATGTTTATTTTTTGACCTTGATGGGTATGGAATATGTTCAGTGTTACCAAAGTAAGTCTGATGAGTTTCCGACGTTTGGGTCAGAAGTGCTGTCAATTCTTGAATTTCTGCTTTGGCCAACATGTTTTGTGAATATGTGAAATAGCAGCATTTGAAGCCCTGGATCTGGCAAGAAGATTGTGGAGTAGGCTCTCAGGAGCAAAACAAAGAAGAGTGAGGTCAACATTTGGCACCACCAACAAAGAAGAGTGTGGAGGTTGTTGATCTTTGTGTGTTGGGTTTGATTTTCGCGCTGATCATACGCCTATAGGGTTGCATGCTGAGTAGTCCACATGTGTGGGTTTGTATTTCTTTTTGCCCCGTTTGTTTATCCTTCCTTTTTCGAGTGTCCTTAGTTAGCTAGGCAATTCTCTTCTGCTTAGTTAATCAATAAGGCAAATCTTTTGCCTCTGTTTCAAAATAACAACAGAAAAAATAGCAGCATCGGGACAGCGTGTGAAACAGCAGTAACTCTGGGAAAACAATCATCACAAATTGAAAGTATAGGTTGGAAGAAAAGAAAGCTTAAACGCTATCGGAAGCCGTCAGTTGCTTCATCCATGGGCATACGCTGGGTATTTGTGTACAGCCTGAAGATAGTACTGCATTGCATGGATCCACTGCCATGGAGCAAAGATGATACTCAAGAATTCCATCTCTTGTCAATAGTTCAGAATTTAGACACGTCACTCCTACATTCTTTTTTCCTAATCCTTTTTTTGGCTGTTGAAGAAAACTGGCATCGACCCAAATTGCTAGAAGCCTAAACTAGAGGAGGGCATTTATGCAAAACTAGGATATACCCCTTGAAATGGAACGCCGCTCGCTGCTTTGCTTTTACCAACACGGCGCAGCATGTATCAGGGGAGCAAGCCTCATTACTGTACAGGGTACAAACTGGAACAAGTGAAAAATGCAAATGCACGGTGCAGTAGCCCTTTCGAAAAATGCATTCACGACCAATTGGGGAAGGAAAACAAAACACGGAAATGCCTTCGACGATCCAATATTTACAGTCACTTCGCTCTAGTCCCGAATCAAGTATCCCCCGCTCGCATGCCCCGCAAAACTGCATAATCCGTTCCCGAGCTTCAGCTGGAAGGGTGGGGAATTATCTCAAGGATGTACGGCAACTGTTCATGGTGCTCCGTCAGTATAACAGCATGTAGGGATTCCTAGCAGCACCACTATGGAACCGAAGGAAAGAAGCTGAAGGCCATCATCTATCTGGTGGCCTTTCCAATTTCGGTGCATGCCACGCATTAGCTTCGAGGCTCTTCCTTCATATGTGAGCTGTGTGCTGCGCCATAAGATTGGACCTTCAGCGTAGAAAAACAACGTCAGTTGCTTAGTTGAGACACCAGAGCACAAGAAAAGGTGTTGCGCACAGTGGTGTGGCCCGGGATTGTGCCAAGCCTGGGCAAGCCCCAGGCCAAAGAGTAGCTACAGTGCTAAATATTGTTCAAGTCGCTGCAGTAGCAAAGTGATCTAGCCTCAGGACCAAGGCCATGGCCCTGGCTGACTTGGGCTTGTCTACGCCCCTGGTTGTGCATAAGGTGAACGTCAACAACGATTGCTAGGCCGTGCGTTCTTACCATTCTATCAACTTGAAGAAGTGAATTAAGCTTGTCCTCATGTGCAAGATCTGGCAGAGGAGGCATCTGACCCATGATACCAGGTGTCTCGCTCATTCTGCAACAATAATACGAAATAAATGTTAAGCAGAGTAATAAGCATAAGCGAGTTACTCGGCATTGGCACATTAACAATGATCTACAAGTTAAGAATGTAAATTTTGTAAGCTATCCATATTTGAAATGATCACATCCTGCTCTAAAACATTACATGAGATCACTAGATCAATAAAAGGTCCTCCCTCCGTCCCATAATGTAAGACGTTTTTTGACACTACACTAGAGTCAAAAAACGTCTTACATTATGAGACGGAGGGAGTAGATTTCAAGACAGCAAAAGATTTGTTTAATGAACTTGAGACTCCAATGACCACCACTACTTATTTCACGATGACACAGCAGGTCCTTTGGCCACCAGCGACTGATATGATACATTCAGATTTATAGAAGAACGATATGACATTGAACATGTTGAAGAGAAGCAGATGATAGGAAGTGAAATTTGCCCTTCCCCTAAGAATATGTTGCAAACGGTAACGGTGAAATACCTATGAGCAATATGCGGAAAATGGCACATATTACAGAGCTGTACCTGCTTAAAATTGTTTTGATGTTGCTATTTGTCCGAAGAAAGAGATCCATGCTCTCCCCCGTCTGCAAATAAATCAGAACTTCAGGCATGAATAAGTAACATAATTTGCCCCGTCACGCTCATTCTGTTATTTTAAGTTGTGAAGGCTGGCAATGAGAGTGAGTGAGTGACAAGTTCCAACATACAATAAATGCTAGCCCGTATTAGTACTTAGTGGCAGATGGCATTTTTCACATTATCTCCTTTATTTTTTATGTTTATTTATGATGCGGTACACCCATCCCAACCTTTGAAAGCATAACCACAGCCCCATCATATTTCTTCACTGAACACAAAAGTTATCTAAGAAAGGAAAGGAAACTCAGCATATACAGAGTACAGACAGTGCACCCAAAACAAAGGGCACTTCTGTAGCATATGTTGATGATGTATGCAATTTAAATATGTTATGCGGCACCACTCTATCAGGTATACATCTTGTGCCAACTATGCTTATATAAATTCTGATTCAGTTTTTTTGAAGATCCTAAGAGTAGTGCACTAACTACTATACCTGCAATATGATCATGTTCATTTTTTGGTGGAAGGACTAGTTGTGAACACAAATAGCCATGATAATTTCACTGTGTAAGATGTAAAACCAATAGGTGGGCACCATGTGCTCCCTGACTGACACACGGGGTACTATAAAATGAAGTTTAAGAGCAGGAAATTGGAGGCATGTGAACAAACATACCTTGAATGTTTCAATATTTGCAGCAATCTGGTTAAGCAATTGATTGTTTTCCTCCAGGAGCTGCTGGGTTGCACTGTCCACAACAGGAGCTGCTTCAGAACGGAACAGAATGAGCATTTTTAGAAGAAATAAGGATAACATCTGAGAATGACGGTGAATTTCTATGTCACTAGTATTATGTAACTGCTTTAGAATGAATATAAGTGAGCTCCCTCAGATGTAAAAGGATCAAAATAGTTGCACACAACAAATTAAAGGAGAAGAATGGAGAACATGTGGCATTCACGTCACCATGACCCATCTGAGAAAACCACCTAAAGTGAAAAGTGGCCTATTTCAATAGTTTTAGAATTCAAGGCTGCAAATTGAACTTTTGGCTGAGTTTAGAGTTGAGAAGTAGACTTTTATTGATAATGTAAGCAGGAGTGTGCAATGTAGTGAAATCTTTGCCTCCTACAAGAAAACATTAATAAGTATTCCATCTCTATAATTTAAACAGCTAACATGACCATAACAACCTCCAGGACATCTCATAGAAAAAAGGGATCCATAAATCCCATGTTAAAAATGTTCAGCTCGAAACTATTGCTACTGGCTTGTCTTCTGTGCTGCTTTTTTTCAGTTCTATATTGGGACCTAGGAAATGCAGTCTGAATATAGAGACGCACCAAGTGAAGGCATCGCAAGGTTGCTTCCAGATGATGCTTGTACTAACTACAAAGTTAACAAGCAGAACATCAAGAACTAAATAAAGTGTGTTCCGAATTTTAGGAGATCATCAATTCCCAATCAGATCAGAACAAGAGTATCTGAAGAGAATGGTGAACCATTCACAAAAAAATGTTTTAACTCCACAAAGTTGATGTTTGAACCATGTAGCCCAGGAAAATTACAGAGAAATACACTGAGGCTAGCTGGTTTCTAACAGTTGACACCATTCACAATCTAACATTGCTATTTAACAATTCTGGACCACTGTGATTCAAACCTTAAATTATCAGACAAAGTGAGGATGGTACTGATAAATACCAAACAATAGCAAGAGAACAAATAGAGGTTAGAGATATGGGCTAACCTTCCTTGGGAACTTGACACTGCTGGTTTGGATTTTGCATCGATATTGAGAAAGGGGTCAAGTTGTTTGTAGGTGCCATGTGAAAATTAGCCATAGGGGCGGCAGATGCAAACATTTTGTCCTGCATTGGCTGTCAAAAGACTTTATCAGAAAGTACATGATTGGCACTAGGAAAAAGCAATAAAAGAACACCACAAGACAAAAGCTGCACCAACCAGGAGAGATAGTGATGTAAATGATTGAGAACCATAAACAGAAAAGTACCTTCATATCTCCCATCTTTTTCCCTGTAAAAAAACCTTCTGGTTTCTTCCTTCTATCTTTACCCTGTAACAACAAACGCATGTGAGCAGAACATAGTGGTTTATGTGCATGTGCTGTTACACTGATATACATCAGAAAGAAACCAGGGCCTGCAGTTGAAAAGGAACAGTCCAAAATGCCGGGCATCACGATCTATATCTAGGGGAATCACAATGAACACTAGCTTATCACAGAAAGAAGAGGCGTGAATTTTTGTCCAGAACAAGCCATTATTACTTTATTATGCCCTTAACTGGCTGTGTGCATCCAATGGACCCAGAGGCCGAGGGAGGGGCTCTTCCGTTATATAAAATACACCCCTATATACTTCATCCAGGCGTTGGTAACTCACCATCTATTAGAACATTTAAAAGTAACATATCCTTCAAGTTACCTACTCATAGGAGATGTATTTACAGGTACAGAATATCAAGACACTGGCTTGGGTAAGGATTCATAAAAACACTCACAAGAGAAAAT